AGATAATCTGTACCAGAAAACTGGCCAGGCAGTGAAGTTAATTGAAAAAGCCATAAGATCTGTACCAGAAAACTGGCCAGGCAGTGAAGTTAATTGAAAAACAAGATAATCTGTACCAGAAAACTGGCTGGGAAGTGAAGTTAATTGAAAAAGCCATATGATCTGTACTGGAAAACTGGCCTGGTAGTGAAGTTAATTGTAAAAACATATAATCTGTACCAGAAAACTGGCCAGGCAGTGCAGTTAATTGAAAAAGCCATAATTATGATCTGTACCAGAAAACTGGCTGTGCAGTGAAGTTCATTGAAAAAACATATGTATGAATTTATTTATTATGTTTCATAAGGTACAATCTTTTTTTTCTTTTTTTTTTACAAACACACTTTTTCAAATGTCACCTGTTTTTTGGTCTGTACAAATAATAAGAGGGGTAATATATATTTCAAAGTTTTAAACTGTCTTTCAATGTAAAAAGTTGGGTAAAAAACATATAAAAGGCCTAGTAAATATCATAGTATGGTAGGGGAGAGCATGTAGTTATAATTTGTTTCATTTCTTTTCTTAATTATAATTGTACTTGTACATGGAGGGATTCAATTAATTGTATGCAAAGAAATTTTTCAAAAATTTAGTAGATATGTTTAGAGATACATTTGGGATAACTGTAGTAATACAAGGTTTGTGGTAATACAAGGTTTTTGGGATAGATCATATTGGGATCATGTTAAAGGTAGCAAGGTAAACTTGAAATTCTTTTTTGTTATAATTAAGTAGAAAAAAACAATATTTTTTCTTTTATTTTATTTTATTACTTAACTTGTTTGTGTTTGATGCAGTTGCTATATTTTACTGTTCTAACTATGATTGTGTGTACTACCAGTCTACAGTATTATGTCATTAATACACAGAGTATTTCCTATAAAGACTTGAAACAGTAACACCACCAGATGGGTAAAATAAATTTTAAACAAGAGCTGTCGGTAGGACAGCAACGCTCGACTATTCTTAGTGCTTGATAGTAAAAAAAAAGGCTTGATACAGTTACCTCCTCCTCCTCCTGTTTACAGGTTGGGGTAATGATGGAAAGTTTCAAAGCCATATGTCAATGGACTTTGAAAATATTTGAGGTATTACAAAAACTTTAACGTAAATTCTAAGTCGAAAAAGGGGCATAATTCTGTCAAAATGCTTGATACAGTTATCTCCTCCTGTCTACAGGTTGGGGTCATGATGGTGAACAAGTGTGCAAAGTTTCAAAAGCATATGTCAATGGACTTTGAAAATATTTGAGGCATTACAAAAACTTTAACATAAGTGGTTACGCCAACTCGGACACAGACGCTCGGGTGACTACAATAACTCTACTTATTATTATCGAAAAGTCGAGCTAAAAAAATTAAGAAAAAAAATATTTAAAGTTTAAGAAATGTATAAAAGTTCACACTCCAGATGTAACTTTGTATGTATTATACAAAATATGTCAAAATTCAGTATTTCTATCACCAGATTTCTACCCCTTACATTAATACTTACAAAATAAGAAAAATAATATGCACATTTCTATGAAATTTGGTCAAAATACGCCAAGTGGTTTAGATGGATAAGTTGTTTTTAAAACTTTGTAGATATCAACAGAGAACAGGCACTCTGTCATCACGAAAGCTGACTTATACAAAAGGACTCATACATGTGTTTTTTTGATATTTTTAGATATAATTTACTTCAGATAAACAAAATTCACTGTTTAACAACAAAATATCTGTGGAAAAAACCTAGTAATTCCGTATGTATCCTCACAAATTGCTCTGAATGTTTAACAAAAAAACATTCTAAGATGTAAGGACAAATTACATAATTTTCAAGTAAATTAGTTGACTCTGTCAATCATTCAAACACAGTCCTAACAGTGGTTGTAAAGGTAGAATTGCAGTATTAATGTCTATTTTTGTTATGTTACAATTGTTTTAGGTAAATTTAATCGGGTAATTAATTATATATTGTTATGAAATAAAGGTTTAAATTGTGGGAATATATGTTTGTTTTATGTCTGTCCTGTATGATATTAGCTGTATTAAAACTCCTGACCTCCACTATTGCCACATTGTTCATGTCTGTAAGGTGATGGATTTAACATAACTAATATACCAGAATCATACTAGTGGAGATATTAACTTGCCAATACAATTGTTTAAGTTCCAATCTGACCACTCAATTATACTGTTGTTGGCTCTTTGGTCCTCCTTTACCAAACTACCTTTACTCCTACTCACTGAGGAGTCCCCAGAACTTTGATTTAGTTTTTTTTTGTACCACCCCACTCATTTCCTATACCCTTTGATGTATTGCTTTGAAACTTTAGATACTTGTTAATGATCATCACCTCCACTTTCAGGCAAGTACTTACAGTTCCAAACAGTGCAAGTATATAATGACACACTTGTATACAAAACTAGAACTCCGCGAGTTGGATGTGTCGCCTTGTGAACAATATAGTTTAAGAGAAATGGCAAAGACAAAAATGAAATTTGAAAATCAACAAAGGGCAATAACTCAAAAAATAAGAAATGCAGATCAGCAGTTTCTGTGCACTGCACTTCTTATCAATAAAATCTGTCATCCTATTAAGTTTCAAGTCTAAAGCTTTTATAATTATGAGAAATGGCCTGGACAAAAATAAAGTATGAAAATTAACAAAGGGCAATAACTCAAAAAATAAGAAATGCAGATCAGCAGTTTCTGTGCACTGCACTTCTTATCAAAGATCTATCATCCTAATAAGTTTCAAGTCTAAAGCTTTTTATAATCTGTGAGAAATGGCCTGGACAAAAATAAAGTATGAAAACTAACAAAGGGCAATAACTCAAAAAATAAGAAATGCAGAGTACCAGTTCTTGAGCACTGCACTTCTTCTTAATGAGATCTATCACCCTTATGAAGTTTTCATGTCCATAGCTTTATACTTTAGGAGAAATGCCTGGACAAAAATAAAGTATGAAAATTAACAAAGGGCAATAACTCAAAAAAATAAGAAATGCAGAGTACCAGTTCTTGTGCACTGCACTTCTTCTTAATGAGATCTATCATCCTATGAAGTTTCAAGTCCATAGCTTTTATACTTTAGGAGAAATGGCCTGGACAAAAATAAAGTATGAAAATTAACAAAGGGCAATAACTCAAAAAATAAGAAATGCAGAGTACCAGTTCTTGTGCACTGCACTTCTTCTTAATGAGATCTATCATCTTATGAAGTTTCAAGTCCATAGATTTTATACTTAGGAGAAATGGCCTGGACAAAAATAAAGTTGAAAAATAAACAAGGCAATAACTCAAAAAATAAGGAGTACAGAGTACTGGTTCTTGTGCACTGCACTTCTGGTCATTATGAGAAGCATGCATACCAAGTTTGAAGTCAATCCGACTTATAATGACTGACTTATGCTCCGGACAAGCTTTAGGGGACGCCGACACCGACGACGACGCCGACAACGACGCCGCCGACAAAAGTAACCCCTATATGTCGCCTTTTTCAAGGCGACACAAAAAGTGTATTTTGTTGGTTTTAAGTAAAAACAACACTGTAAAGGTCATAAGACAATTTTCCTGATTTCCTGGTGCAGGAAGACCTCCATGCCTTATTTCTGGCTAGAAGTATAGAACCACGAGATTCTGTAAGCTAGCTAACAGGATGATTTCCTGGTGCAGGAAGACCTCCATGCCTTATTTCTGGCTAGAAGTATAGAACCACAAGATTCTGTAAGCTACCTAACAGGATAGCTTCCCCACATGAAAGAATTTTTTAAAAACACTGCCAGGATTAAAACAAACTGCTCCACCAATCTTTTGTAATTTTGCTAGCTGGATATCTTCCCTGCATGAATAGAATTCAACCTGAATGAGTGGTCAGTGGTTCTATGTCAGTGACCTTTACCACTTGGCCAAGGAGACCCAACATGCTGTATACAGGTATATCTTAAATGATGTAAAGTTTAAATGAAACTTGTTCCTACATCAAAATATGCAAACTTAAATCTTGAACCAATCGACAACAAACAAGACTGAATATGTTATATGACATTATTTATTGACTTTTACATAAAAAAAACAAATTTCCAGTCTCAATTATGGTGTACAGGAACATTTTTTATCATCAAAGGATAAAACAGAAAGGTATCCACAAATATACAGACCTTGTATCAGTAATATAAACTTATACTCTATAACACTGCCCTACAACAATAATTTTACCTAGTCTTTCAATCACACATAAATTTCTAACATTCTAAACTATGTCTCCCCATATTCTAACTTTGTAATGAACAGAATATCTTGCCATAAAATGATAGTACTGAGAGTTGCTACCCAAAAAAATCATAAGAAGATATTATAGTTATATTCTTACAAAATATTAGAAATCTTTGTTTACTAATAGAGAAAAATCATTTCATTACAACTGTATGCAATTCACAAAACAAGCCACCTGTTTTGTTCCCTGCAAAGTAAATTTAGAAATTTTTATACACAAAGTGTAAAGTAAAATAAAATAAATGACTTATTTTCTAAAGGATAATTCATTATAAATTAATATAGAACATTGACATTTCAAGGGACATAGTTAGATAAAATTGAATTTAAATTAAGATGATTACAAAGACTTAACATACAAAAATAAATTAAATAGGAGACCAGTCTACAAATGCAACTCTTTCATTGGCTGATTTCAAACTAAGTATCTGCATCAGCCAATTAAATGTAAGAATTTCAAACCAGTCTACATTTTAAAAATTAGAAACCAGGATATGGTTATCTTGTTGACACAGTCCAGAATAAGTAGAAATATACAAAAGACATATACATCATCACCACAATAGCAAAACTGTTTTAAAAATAAATAATGGCAAGTATTTATATAATCAGAAATAAAATGGTACATCAAAACGTGTGTCTGAAAGTTCATGAAGCCATGTTAGTTCAATTTAATAAATTACCATATTTGTTCTATACTGTATCACATTTAAAGAAATCATTTTGTTCTTCATGAGAAGAATACCATATTTGTTCTATAAAGATACATTTCTCAAAATAAATATGTCACTGTATAGTGATGATAGGTGCCTCATAGTGCATATATGAGCCGCGTCACGACAAAACCAACATAGTGCGTTTGCGACCAGCATGGATCCAGACCAGCCTGCGCATCTGCACAGTCTGATAAGGATTCATGCTGTTCGCTATCAATTTCTCTACTTGTAATAGGGTTTGTAAGCGAACAGCATGGATCCTGATCAGACTGCGCGGATGCGCAGGCTGGTCTGGATCCATGCTTGTCGCAAAACCATTATGTTGGTTTTGTCATGACGCTGCTCATATATATATGATAGGTTCCTTGGAAATGCAGAACATAAATAACATACACATTTTGTATACGTTTACATATAGTTGGCTCATTGCCAAGACAACTGTAAATGTCTATAATGTACTTAAGTCTTTAACAAAGATGGCATCATTATCTTCAAAGTAAGTGATATAAGTATGTATCGGAAAATCAAAGTTAGCTCGCATATCATAAATAATATAGGGCTACATATTTTACACAACACCGCTTTGACAGAGCCTGATACATGTGATAGATACAAGATTTCTATATGACGTTCTCTCTTATTACATGCACCGGTATATGACCTCAACCTTTCAAACCTTCCATGAAAATGACTTTAAAAAACATGCTATTTTAGTTTATACAGAATTTACTTTAGTTGGATCGAGTTGAAAGCTATTAGCTTATAAACACACTGAGACACTCTCGAAATCTCTAGTTTCTGAAACTAGCCAGAACTGAGCAATGTTATTTATAAGTGTAAAGTTTCTTGCTTAAGGAAATGACGACTTGCCCCCCGACAGCTTTGAACCCTTGCAGCTAGCTATCCTTAGATTTCTTGTCCAATGCGTTAACCAATCGGCCAGGACGCCACTTTAACATTCTACACATTTGAAAGTAAGACTAATAATTATTAGGACCAACTCACTGTTAAAACCGGAGCATGTAACTATTGAAACCATGTTATTTCAATATTAGGAACTTTCAATATTAAGACAACATCTCTATGGTTTTTGGTCTTATCATTTAGCAGAACTGCATACAACAATGATTTGTCTAACTTGACACTTTACATGCATGATTCTTAAAAAGCATAAATGCTTAAAAAACACAGAAAGCACAATATATCACATTTTGACATTCACATATAAAGTTACAATACAAATAAAATAAAAACATAAGAACAAGTATAGTAACTGAACACATGCATATAGCACTCAGACAGGAATTAAAATAAAAATACATAAAAATATCACTTGGTAATAATAAAAAGCTTTAAGCTGCTACAAACATAGATACCCCATCCCATCATTCAATATTACATAATCAAGATACCCCACCCCATAGTTACAAACATTAGACATACTAGTACTTTATCAAGATACCCCACTCTATCACTCCATATCAATAACATGAATAACCCCAAAAATGCATAAGTAAACATATCAGTTCATATTTTACATTAAAACTTTTCATACTAATAGTTTGCCTGATTGCACAACTACACTAAAACCTTTCTTTAGTGACCAGACTTGCATAATCCTACAAAAACACTTTATTTCAGGAGGATCAAAGACTGGAATGTTGTATAAAACTTCACAATATTCGTATATCTGCCAGTGGCCATGATTCATTACCCTAAGCATTACCACATCTTAGTTTAATACACTATATATTCTAATAATCCATGTGTAACTTAAAGAAATTTGACAGATAAATCAAATTCACTTTGATGTTTAAAAATATGCTATTTTGTTTTCTTTCTTACATTTGTAACTATCATCTAAAAGACTGTGAAATAAACAGACATGGTGTCAGGACAGATTTAGGGCACCCAAAGATTTACCTTAGTAGTCTTTTTATTTTCTTTCTTTTTAAAGTCTGATTTACAGCCTTTGTTTTTAAATGATAGATTAAATTTTTTAACATAAAAACAACAAAGAAAAGAAATCTGATACAGCATTTGATCACATGGCTAAAATACAAAGTTTCTTATTACATATTGCACAAACTTGACAATAAATTACAAAAAGTAAGTGTAGCCAATCAAAATACCAGCTTGCTTTGTTATTATTTTAACCCTTATCCCTTGTAATTGATAATGATTAGCCTCTGCCAGCAGTGTTGTGCCACTCCAGCCAGCACATCCATGCAGTCTGACCTGACTTTACACTGTTACCTGACTAACATACATGCAGTCTGACCTGACTTTACACTGTAACCTGACTAACATTCAGCTTTCATCTTGTTATCTATAAAACTGATAAAAGAGCAGTTGCTAAAAAGGAAGGAAGCTGGTGGACAAGTCCATATATATATAATATAGCAGGTAAAGATTAAACCAGTCTAAAACATCAGTTCTCATCAAACAAAACATATATCAACATGCTGCATGTTTATTTTCTAACTTCATATTTAATCTAACTATTCCAGAGTAACACCTCTCTGTAAACAACATCTTTGTCTCTCAAAGTATGTTGCTATACAGTTGTTATACTGTTATATAGACTGGTACCCTAGCTGCACTTTAGCCAAAAGATTTCTGAAATGTTTCTGTCTTAGATATCCCCAAATTATATGGAAAAAAAACAAACAACAACAAGTTCCTTTTAATTTTTTGCAAGTAAAAGTATCTACTATTTTATCTTAATGCAGTGGCACTTTACCATCTAATCGCACACTCCATTTTTTAATATTAAGGCAACTAAAGGCAAGAGATCCCATATGCAATGTCTTTACAAACTAAAACACTAAATGAATAATACATACCCTCCCAAACCCCCACCTCCCCCCCCCCCCCCCCCAAAAAAAAAAATGAAATAAAATAAATAAAAATGAAAAAAAATATGTTTCTGTAATTTTTTTAATATTAACTACAATATTTTCAGGTAAAGTATCTTTTAATAATGACTAAAAATATAATGCTTCTAATATGAAAAATTCCCATCAAGTTTTTATTTCCTAGAAGTTCTGCACCAGTCTGTAAAATCATACAACAAAGTGAAAAAATGAGATCAGTCTCAAAAATGGAGCTCAGCAATTGGCTTATTTCAAACCTTTGCTCTCAGTTAACAAAACAAATGCTTTATACTAGTATAGTTGAGACTGGACAAAACTGCTCATATAATTAAAGGGAAATAACTACCATAGTTTTTTCTAGCTAATAGCATATCGAGATCATAACCAATTAATTAGTTTTCATACACAATATTGGTCAAATTCACATATAAAACATTTAAATGATTTGACATAAACTACTGAAACTTTCCTTTAATATCAAGTCTTACAACATAAGATTGTTCCTTTTACCTTCTTTATATTCTATAACTCAAGTAAAAGCGTTTCTAAGTTAACCTAAAAAATTAAAATAACATGATAAAATCTATCCATGCATAAATATATTGCATTTAAATACAAGAAGCACTCTTAAATAGATAAAACGAATCTTGTAAAACAGCATTTCAAATACAGTCTGATAAAACTTAATCTTAATCTTAATATGAACAATCTCTGTGTGTTACCTACAAACACTTTTCTTAAAATTTAAAACAAAAATTGACAAAATATTTTCATAAAAAAAATAAAATAAAATTGGGGCATACCTTTCTTTCACAAAAACGTTAATCATACATTCAATACAATTTCAAAAGTCAAAAATCTTAACTTGATAACCAGTCCTGGACACTGTTATTGGTCAATCCTGTTCTCAGAACCAACCAATCAGAAGCTAGAATTTTAGACTGGTTATTTAATTTCAATTTTGTACAACTAACTACAGAAATGGAATAATATTTTTAGGTTACAATGTTCAGTTTACATGGATATATATTATGACACTAAACCTGACAACCTATTAGTAAATTAATACATTGATATCACAGCTTACAAATATCATTATTCATATGCCTATGTAGCTTTTATTCTTATTCTACTAAATTATAAAATATTTCATATTCAATCATTACATGTAACAATTTTTTTATACTTCCCTTAAGACTACATAACTCTTTCCTGTCATAACCCTTATTCTTCCATCTTTATATTCTAGTATGTCACTATTATTCCCATTTTTTTCCCAAACATTATTCTTATTCTTAGTTAATTTCATTCCATATTCTATTCGCCCATTATTCTTATTCTATATCATCATGACTCTTAGTCTATTAGATTATAGTGTAACTTCCAAAATCTGAAATTTGCTATGATTCTGGAAGCTCTTTTCTTATTCTGTCCACTAAATCATTCATAATATTCTTATTCTGATGTTCATTATTTAATGCCGATCTATTTCACCCTTTTTCTTTTTTTTTCAAATGGTATTCTTATTCCATTTCATAACTGTATCACAGTCAACTGTCTTTGTCCTTTAAATCAGATTTACAAATAAAAGATTACATTTTGGCTTACTAAATATAATTATATATAATTGTAAACAATAAAACTGAATTAGAAATGTGTTGACTTAAGAAATATAAGGAGATTCAGAATTAAAATATAACTGTAAATAAATAATAAACAAGATTGAAATTATTTTGTTAATAATTATTTTGCAGAAAAAAATCTGACATCAGCTGAGAGAGAGAACATGATCAGATTTTTTAAGAAAAACACCCTTTATTATCTAAAAGAGACTATACTTTGCAAAATTTACAGATGAAATACTTATTTGGAACAGACTATAGTGTATGGAATATATTGTGTTTTTGATAATATAAGTGACGACTTAAAGCTGTGTATTAAGCTATTACGCATAAGCCTATGTCATTCCAAACATTGCAATATATTTTATAATTATATTACTATATTGCTTTATTTATTCCATTTACCATACATCAAAAAAATTGCATCAACAGTTTGTAAAAATTAATCGGTGAAAAAAAAATTCCCCCCATAAATTTTTCACTTAAAATTTCTTGTGTAAATTGAACAGGTTATGTTCTCTCCAAATGCAGTTCATTGTCTCATCTGAATGTGTATAAAATATGGATCAAGAGGGTTCTTTTTTGATAAAAGAAAAGGTCAAAAACTTTCAAAAGAGTTTAAAGGAGATTAATTAAATACAAGAATAGAGCCAAAGGAACATAAACTGATACAGAAGTCAGACAGGAATAATTGGGTCAAATCAAACACATTGACTGTTTGAGTTAGAAGTTAAAGAAATGGACATTTTATAAAATTGCATTTGCTGGTATAAAATAGACGGGTGTAGTCAACAGAAAAAAGAGAGTTCAATAGGGACACAAAGTCATTAAAACAGAGTTTCAAAAGGGACAAAAAACTGGTCCATACAGTGGTCACTGGGACAAATTATTGATCAATACTGAGGTTATAGGGGTATGTGTTAGCTTAAAGCACTTTGTGCACGTGTTCCACATAAACTAAATGTTTCACTGTCTCAGATATAATCAAATTTAAAAACATATAAAAAATCCTTGAACTTGGTTATATAAATATTCATTACTTCCTTCAAATAATTTTCCACTCCAGAAAAAAAAATCACTTTCACAGGAATAAAATGTTAACGCATCACATGTTTCACAATATGTGGAAATTTCAACCTGAATATCTTTCGAACATGTTCCGCTGTGTGTTATTTCTTTTTTGATTTTCCAGAGTCTGGTTTATTTGCTTTTTCTTTTGCTGCTTTCCGACGCTGCATTTGTTTCTGGTGCTCTTTTTCCATCTCTCGCTCAGTTATATTTAATCTCAATGACTGAAAAATATGACAAATTCATCAATATCAATGCTATAATGTCTGTCTTTTGAGTGTCATCAGATATATATACAGATCTTGTGTAAAGTCCTGGCATAAAATATATGGTTAACCAGATCCCAAGTATAAAATATATGGTTAATCAGATCGATGCCATAAAATATATGGTTTATTAGATCCCAAACATAAGATATGTGGTTTATAAAAAACTTTTTATGCACAAAAAATTACATCATTATCAAAAGAGTTATCTTCATGCTTTTCCATAATTTAACAACTAGAAGTCCCTTATTCTGTTAATCTTATAGGGCAACATTTATATTATAGTTCAATTTCATGTGGAGTTCAAAACTAACTTACTCCTGAGAATATTCAACATAAAAACCAGAATTTCATTGAATAATCCTAATGTTTAATTAATCTACATACACAACTGCAGCAACTTCATGAATGATTTACAAATTCATTCATGGGAGGTAAATCTGCTATAAAGCATTTTGTCAGGATAAATGGGTATGTATTCATGGGTTCTTCCTAGAATATTTGGCTATATAAACTTACAACCATTTATAATGGGTTATAAAACCTGCCCTATCATCATGTTTAAAGCACTGATGACAATCAAAACTGTAAGATTAAAAAAAAGAACTTTCAATATATGATTCCCCAGTGGTTACAGATGCCGGCTTTAACTACGAAACAAATTTGAGTATGAGGTAACTACTACCTCTCTGACTATATAACTTTCATCTATGTCAGCTGGTATATGTCGTATTTTCTCTAATGTAGCGTACATATCTGAACACGATGATAATTTCTCCTGTGTTCCCAGGCACATTCTGATCAGCACCAATCCAACACGGAATACAACTTTTATACCTGTAAAATATAATTCATGAATATGAATACAATCGATGATGCAATTGCAGTTCTATGCAAACAATCAAAGTCATACCAGCCTGTTAGTCTGTTCAGTTTGTGGAAGGGGTGGGGGGGGGGGGGCTGTCAGGTTTTACATTGCACCAACACAGTATAGGTCATATGGGAACTTTCCAGCTTTAATTGTGGAGGAAGACCTCAGGTGCCATTCATTGTAATATCTCAGGGACAGCAGGTCCCTAAGTAAAACCACTGACATTCTTTTAGTTAGTTAATTAGAGCTTGACATGAAAGAATGCCAAGTTCCTGTCGTTATTCAAACCCACAGCAGTGAGGGGCAAGTGGTTTAAAGTCAACAGCGTTAACCATTCATCCAAATCTCGAAACCACAAGTCCATTACACAATTTTTTCAGAATAAAAATTATCCATTTAAGGTGATTTGTTTTTTTCTTCGTAGGTTGTCAGCTGATTTATTACTTTTCACACAAGAAATCAAACAATCACCACAATATAGGTCTTATATTCTCAATACAGGGCTTACAGGAATAAACAGTAGAATGATTGCCATGAAATAACAGAGTTATACAGACAATGAAATTTATTTTTTATGAAAATACTGTACATTTCTTAATGGCAACAATTCTGTCTCACAATAATGTAAATTTGCTTTTTCTAGACAGGAATTGATAAAAACATTGTTACCATCAATATCATTGTTACCATCACCAGGCCAGCCATGCAGTCTGACCAGGCTCTATACTGCTTGTAGCTTAAGTTTTAATTTCCTGATACTGAAACATCTTAAGGTGACAACAGACACTTTCCGTGGTACTCACATAAATGTCATTTAAACCAACTTATTTTAGTGATAATTGTTATTTATTTAATCTTTGTGCATTAAATGTTGTTGATCATCATAAAAAATAACATATTTGAAAAAAATGCCTTTGTAAATGATTGATTTTTAATAAAAATCCTAAAATTTTAAATCGTCATATCAAAGTCATTTTTTATTTTTTTGTCATCAAACTTTTGGAAAATAAACATACTTATAATATCTGGGGAACCGTGTCTCAAATTTTTTTTATCTTTTCTCAAAAAAATATTACGTAACGTCAAACATTTTATGCGACTTTTTTCACCATACATATTACGTAATTAAAGATAATTAAGCCTCTGATTGAGCAAACAAAAATCCCTGACACGGTTCCCTCCGTTAATGAATTCCCTTTCATGTGCTTTAAACCGCATGTTAATTGCTTGATTATTAAAAAAGTTATGCCGATTCAAAGTTAGTCCGACCCGCATCAAACGAAGTGTCATAAATCGGCAGTTCTCTCTCGGACCCCTACGTTTCATGCTAAATAATTGCATAATACACAAATATCGCACCAGAGAGGGTCACAAGTTGCGGTAACATACTCTAACAACATTTTATGACACAGTGACATCTGACCAATTAAAAAGTTGCTGATTAATATCAGTTTATAACAGAAATTTCTTCAAATCTTAACGTGATTTACCGTCCGTCTGGTATCGGTCGCACATGTCACGTGACTTTCGGTAAAATTTGAGGCACTCGGTGGGGGGAAATAGAACGTATTTGCGCACCGCTAGCGGGGTATTTAATTGTTTCACTTTTGAAGTTTATTATTATTATTATCAGCATTTCAGCATAATTATTATATTATACCAGTGTCACTCTGTGTATTCGTTTATGAAATTCCGTTAAAATATAAAATAAAATAACAAAATACTGAGCTTCTGACGGTCTTTTAAAGTCCATGGTAGATGTACAAATAAGAATGGGATATTATATATTTTTTCCTCCAAATTGATATAAATCTTAGACAACCTAAAATGGTTTAGAAATTTGTCAGGGACACCTTACCACAAGTCATATAGGCGTTCACATTAAAAATGTTGTCTGTTTTTGTTGACATTGTTAGAAAACGAGGTTGAATGTAAAGCAAGCCCTTGAATCCGTACAAAGTCCATAAACTCAATGTAATATCTATCAGATTAACGGGACAGACAAATTATTTTCACACATTATGGATATTTAGGAACTATATTTTTAATCAACCCCGTGGTCGTGCGATTTGCCGCTATGCTTAATTATTTTATCGTCGGATACCCACGATTGATAATCATGTCACATAACATGCAATAAATGATAATGGTTCGGCCGTGGGTATCCGACGATAGCTAATTTATGTTTCATACATTATGTTACGTACATTGGCCGACAATTTCTTATTTTATAAAAAAGGCTAAATAAAAGGTAGACGATATTCGGTATTTGTACGATACATGAATTACGAGTAGTATGGACCGGTAATTCACGCATATATGGAACTACCGATTTCCCTCATTGTTGCCTCAACAGGGGGCGGAGCGTTATCGATAATTGACAGGTTACACGAATAGCAGATAAAACTGGTACAGGTACCGTTTTAAAACGTTTAAAAACACATTTTTTGGACTAACTGCTCCCAAAATTAAATCACGAATGTGTTCAGAAAAGATGGATAAATCTACTAAACAAAAAATCTCATTTTAGGTATTTTCAGTGATAATTGACTCCGTTGTCACCTTAAACTTGGAATTGATAGTAAAAAACAGGTAATACAACAGATATAGGGTTAACATGAACAAGAGCTGCCAAATGGACCATACACTTGACAATTGTATGCCCTTCATAACAGAAGGTCTTCACAAAGGTCAGATGTACACACCAGTAACTATAAATATCTAACAGAAAATAACATTTACCTTCACATAAAAACATATCCCAGACACGGAGTACACTGGCCCATGGTAAATTTCTACTATATACACACATAAACCATTCTGTCATATACAATATTGGTTCAACTCTATGTTTTTTCTGAAATAAAAATATTCACTTTTTTTAATGTCTGAGGCCATGACTTTCTCATGTTACCAATATAAAGCCAGGCAAGCTTTTACATCAGTGCAAACAGACAAATCTCTGTAGTGTTATAGTGTTAGCTTCCTAATATCAGGTTTTCAAAATCCATAATATAAACTCAGCCAATGTAGGTATTTCAAGTCTTATCCCAGGATACAAACAAACTCTTACCTGAATAGCTGCACAGTGCATTACCATTCATAAAAGAGTAATAAACATGTTGCCATTATTGTCTATATATTTATCAAGTTGTAACTGTAGTTTGTTTGTACTACAGGATTAGATGGGGAAAACCAACAGTTTGTGAGTATCTCTATCGCATTAAAGACTGGTCAGGCACAATCAAAGATCAAACTCAAAAACCCTTAAACATAATATTTTACAACCGATTTTGTCAACCTGAACCAAGTTGAAATACCGTAGACACAACAGGCAGTCAACACCTTTATAAATGTACAATTACCGTAACAGCATGTTGTAACAATAGGTTGTGAGTATAGAAGGCAATACAAATTGTTTTTTAAGCAAGTTTCATGATGAAATAATGATGGTAATAAATAAACTTACCAAATGCTTATAAATAGGAGGGTTTGCCCTTTTAAGTAAACCATATAACACATCCCCATCTACTTGCACTGCTTCCTGTAATACAAATTTCCATATATTGTTAACTTTCTTGATTTAACTAAGAATAAGCTCAAACTAACAGTCTCTCATGAAAAAGAAAAATAAACAAAAAAATAAATAAATGCTTATATTGCAAACTGCTGATCAACAAACTACTGACAAAACATACTACTGCCAACAAAAAATTTGTGTAAAAGAATACATTTAGCATATTTTTACTACAAGTCAAGAAACAGAAGAAAACTCCTACCAGTCCAGGACTGTAATATCCAGGGAGGTATTTTTCACATATAGAAACAAAGCACCAGAAAGCCTCCTCTGCCGGCATGTGCATTAACAGTACCGCTGCAATTGGGGCTTGAGCTTGGCAGTACCCATCTGTTGGGTTGTGTACTGTGTATGCTTTCAATAAACGAAATAAATCTTCTTGTCTGTAATAAGAAAGTTAACAGCATATAAATTTTTATTTTTATTTGTGTATCATTTTCTTAAAGAAGATAAATATTACAGATTGTATGTAAATATATATACTTTATACCTCCTTTCTCAAATTAAATGGAACATGATCTTTATTTTACTTTAAAATTTCATATATAATATGACACTGGTGTATTATTGTATATGTCTCTTAAATTGTATAAACTGCACATCATTTCCAACTTATTAATTCAGTTACATATTTCTGTAATGTTATCAGAACATAAAATGTTCTTTTTGCATAATATCTTCCATGACCATGTATGTAAAACATCTTAGCCACAGTCTTAATAGCCAAGTGGTTGAGGTTGTATCTAAGCCTTGGCTTTAATAGCCAAGTGGTTGAGGTTGTATCTAAGCCTTGGCTTTAATAGCCAAGTGGTTGAGGTTGTATCTAAGCCTTGGCTTTAATAGCCAAGTGGTTGAGGTTGTATCTAAGCCTTGGCTTTAATAGCAGAGTGGTTGAAGTGGTATTTAAGCTACAGTGTAAATAGCTGAAAGGTTGAGGTTGTATCTAAGCCACGGTCTTAATAGCTGAGTGATTGCTGTTGTTTCTAAGCCATGATCCTAACAGGCGATTGGTTGAGGTTGCATCTTAATAGCTGTGTGGTAGCTGTTGCATCTAAGCCACAGTCTTAATAGCCGAGTGGTTGCTGTTGTATTTAAGGCAGAGGCTTAATAGCCGAGTGGTTGCTGTTGTATTTAAGGCAGAGGCTTAATAGCTGAGTGGTTGCTGTTGTATTTAAGACAGAGGCTTAATAGCTGAGTGGTCAAGATAACACTTTGAATCACTTGCCAAGGACAACTGTTAGTTCTAATCCAGCTAGAAGCTTTATATTATTTTATGCCTTGATCATGATCTGATCAACCTAAAACCCCACCATAAAGTTAGATGTCCATGGAAAATAGCAACACACCATCTGATAATATATGTAGTTAGTCTAGTTTATACAGATTTTATATTTAATAAGATTGTGTAGGAAGCTATAAGCTTATAGACACACTTCAAATCTGTTCCAGAAACCAACCAACGACTTAAAAGTTTTTGCCAAGAAAACAATGGCATGCCTTTGGTGAGGTTTGATCTGACATGGCTAGCGATCCGTAGATTACCAATAGTTACCGTCGCTAACAGGCATTAAAGTAATTGTGACAGACAGAAAGACTGACTAATTGGCAAATGTTTACTCCATTGAAAAATGTCAGTGAAGTATTAAAACTTCAGATTTATCTTACCCATAGCCTTCTCTTGACATGAACATTTCATGTAAAGGAAATTGTCGATGTAAATCTTTCTTTATATCTTCTATACATCTTGGGTCCCCTGGATGCTCTAAATATTCCTGAAGCAAAAACATGAATTTTACTTACAGATTAATATTACTTTATGTAAGTGTTGCTTTTACTTTTACTTATAGTTAATCCATGAATGACATAAAAAAACTAGAACTGTGTCCAAAGGACACGGATGCCCCCACTGACAACATATATATGGTATATAGTGAAAAAAGGGTTGTTCATCCCTGGAAGTTTAAGCAAAATCTGCCATCCGGTTTAAGAGGAGTTCTGTTCACAAGATTTCGGGACGTACGGACGGACGTATGGACGGACAGACAAGTGCAATGCTATATGCTCCCACTTTGTGGGGGCATAAAAAAAACTGTTATACATGTATCACTGAAACTTTTTTCTTCATTCATGCTAGTTTTTCAGGAAGCAAATAATATATAAGAGATTTTTATGTATGAAACATAATTTCTCAGTTACAACCTAAAACTCAATTCTTCACCACAATCTCAGTAAACTTAGGTAGCTCTTAAAATACTGCTTTCAAATAAGCCACTATTTTTCTTGATAAAATAGTTATTTTAATCATTCTCTTCTATTTCTTTCAGATTAAAAAAAAAACAAAAACAAAATAACAGCAGCAAAAAATAAAATAGGATTCTTACATCAAATTTTCCTTGGTTATGGTCCATCAAATGTTTGCTCCCACATAAAAATTGCCATGCTCGACTTCGTACTGACGGTGGAATGCCTTTTCTACATCTCTCCTTCACCTGACGTAGGTAAAAATTAATACATGTAGTAACATTAAAATGTTTATATACAACAATAGTTTGATAATAAATTATCAATATCAATCAATAATACAAGAGGGCCATAATACTCCAGTATTGCTCACCTGAATTATAATGATAAAGAAGCCTAAGATATCAGTTTTGTGTAGACACTCACCTTAGAATCACTGTTTCATGAATGTTATCAAAAATAGACCAACAATATATCAAGATTTTAAAAGTTTTCATAACAAAGAAATAGAGAATTGTTTTACTCAAATGATGATACAAAAAATTGAATTATTTTGGTAAAATGCCAGGCACAAAGTGTAACTTATTTTAAATACTCGTTTTTGAACAAAAAGAAGAAAATTTGCAAAGATTTCTCCACATGCATAAAAGGAAAAGAAGTCCCCCCCCCCCATAAAAAACTTCCCTAGAGGATCAATTAAATGATCACAATATCAGACTAAAAGCTTTTGACACTAGAAAAGTATATTAAAGATTTTCCTGCATGGTATACCATTTTTTTGAATTTCTGTTAATAAAATTTTTCTAATGATCTTCAGGAGAAAATGTTTGGAGAAAAGTTCTAGCAAATTTACGGTTGAACAGACAATTCACAACATAATTTCAATATGATATTTTCAATATCAGTCATAGGAGATAACAACATTCTTGTGTCCTCCATTATTTTGGAAACTGTGTCAAAGACAGCTTTAACCAATTTCAGGTATTTCTGACAAATTACAGGCATTTCTGACAATTTCAGGTAAGTCTGACAATTTCAGGTAAGTCTGACAAATTACAGGTATTTCTGACAAATTACAGGCATTTCTGACAAATTTCAGGTATTTCAGACAAATTACAGGCATTTCTGACAAATTTCAGGTATTTCAGACAAATTACAGGCATTTCAAATTTCAGGTTTCAGACAAATTACAGGCATTTCTGACAAATTTCAGGTATTTCTGACAAATTTCAGGTATTTCAGAACATTTAAAAAACATATGACTACAGTGCATTATGCTTCCTGACACATTCACAGTAATATATATGACATTATTTCTACAGAGAGGGGCTGACATCAACATAAACAGATTGAACCAGATGCCCTTAACTACTTTCAAGTATACTTTCATAAAAAGCATTATTTGACCTTCATTATTCAAGCTGACTTTCATTTTCAGTGTATACAAAGAGATAGGAGATTCAAACCAGCATTTAACATGTGAAAATACCATAACAGGAAAGATAATAACATGGTACGTCACAATAGATCAAAGGCCATGAAACATGGTTGTTTTTTGTTGTATTTTATATTATGAATCATATAGACTATCATTAGGGCAAAAAAATATTATTTCTGGTTTCTTAAAAAGAAACAAGAGCTGTTCGTAAGACTTTTCTCAGTGACAGACAGTAAGGAAAAGGTGCATAGCTCTGTAAAAAAGTAACTCAAAGATATGGGACCTGTGCCCATCATGTTAGATAATCAAGGAGAACAACCGTGTGAAGTTTTAACCCATTCCCTTCAGTAGTTTTGGAGATATACCAACTTGCACGCAAAAAAAACTACACATAATCTTAAGTGTGACGTGGCACTGAAACCTGGTGTGTACAATAGCTCTCTCTATTCTTCAAATAGTCGAGCTAAAAAAAACAACAAATAGTGATGGCACTCGAGGTACTTTTCTTTATTTCATCCAGAATGTATCCCATGGTATTCTATTCTATAGACCATGAATTACATGTTATAAAAAATTATTTATGTTAAGAGAAAATTCTATTAGAAAATTACTGGTAAACAAAGATGATATTATTGTCATATTTTACACTAAGCCTTGAGTTATAATGGCCTTCTTAACATAGAACTGCTTGCAGGGATAAAAATTTGCCAACATCATTTATAAAGATGTAGTGATACTGACTTGCTTAAGCCAGTAGTACAGATGCTCGATTGATAGCGATTTGATACAGGCAACCCTTTAAACAATAATAGACAGTTTCTAATTCAAATCTGGGCAAATCCATACAATAAACTTGTGTACACATTGTCAATCCCAATAAACAATGTTAATGAACGGTCTTCATGGGCAGGTTCACCTGTACATGTCAATAAACAATGTTAATGAACATCTTCATGGGCAGGTTCACCTGTACATATCAATTAACAATGTTAATAAATGGTCTTCATGGACAGGTTCACCTATACAAGTCAATCACCAATAAGCAATGTTTACTAATGGTCTTCGTGGACAGGTTCACCTGTACAAGTCAATCACCAATAAACAATGTTAACTAAGTGGCAGTTATGACAATTGAAAATACAATTCTAGTCCCCTATTGTTTAAGGAAATGAGTAATACATGCAGTCAGTAATTTGTTTACTGTGTCTACTAACATGACTAATGTTTAATGTATTTAATATACAACACATTGTATGTAGAAACTGCAAAATTAACACTTATTTTGTCATTAAGAAATTTGAGAAAAGTGAAGGGTTTCAAAATTTTAAAGCAAAGTGCATAGCTGTAAGTATAGCATGTAATTGTTAAAACGTGAATAAAAGAAGTTTTTGAACCAATTTGAAAAAAAAAATGAAATTCAGGTACATTCACAAAAATTTGAAAATTGCTCATCTAACCAAAAGGCCTGATATTCTATCAAATAACCCATCCCATGGGGAATAAAAGAAATTTAGATTTTTTGGTAATTATTGATAAAGTTGCTAGTGTTTGTGGTAAGGCCACCAATCAATATGTTACAATCATGAGAAGATGCCATTCCATTACTTTTTTTCTTTCCCATAGTTCTGTAAGTCAAGTAAAACAACTGTTTCAAAGTTTAGTTTATTTCTGATCAAAGGCTTAATTTGTACATACATATAGGAGTGCTTTAAGGATTACAGACCCTAATGAACATGTATGCTATCCTCCATATTGTTATTTTCTTAAGGAATTTTGTCATCAAACACTGTACAAAAATGTCACAGAAAAGGTATACAAAATTTGAAAAAATTTCAAAAGATGAGACTGGCTTCAAGGCTTTTTATTTTTCTTGTAAGGGAATTACAAATTTAATATCTCCTGACATATTGATATAAAAGGGTATGTAATCCTTAAATTTAGACATGACCTTAGTTAATGTATAAAATTTATAAACTACTCATATTATAAACCTAACTAGAAATGTGCCCATATGACAAGGATGCCCCCATGTTCTACTGTCTTGTCTGTCTACAGATTAACAGCAGGATGGACAGAAAGCAACTTAAGTTGATTAAAGGCTCATTCCTTTTGTTATTGTCTTTTATTTCACAGTGGCTTTATGTACTGTTAAGAAATAAAGTCTATTGTTCTCTTTTGTTCTTTTGTTACATGACCCCTAGATTGTCTGGACGTACAAGGGTAAATCTTATGTCCACATCACCCCCAGGGGGGGGGGGGGATACATGTAAAAGACAGTACAAAGTCTCTGGTTAGGCTGCATGAATATATTAACAATGGCATCCATGGACTAATCATTAATGCAGCTAGCATTGAAATAGTAAACTTCATTGTCATTACAAGTAGCAAAACTTACCTTTTTAAATCTTTTACTCATCCATTTCTCCCAGTTTTGAAACATATCTAACCATTTTAACTCCCGCTTCCTTAATATCTCTATAGGAAGACGTCTTTCCCTGAAGAAAAAATGTTAGAAAATAAATGGACAATTTATAATTGCCAAATAACCCCAAATCACTATTTAATATCACCATTCATTTAAAACTTTTGTGTCATGGCTATAAACTGATTGGAACCATTACAACAGGACAGAGAAATTACTGCATATTTGTATTACAATAAAATAAATGAAAATACTGATACCAGTACTTAAAGGTGCTATATAAAGCTAAACAGGTCAAAAGGTGACAGCTTGAATATCTTACCATACCAATTTGTTTGAATAATGTTCTAAATACATATATTGCAAAACATACATTGAAATTTATATCATTTAAATGCATCTGTAGCCACTTCAATAAACACTTGCAAGCTATCTACAAACCTTGAATTTCCTGATTATACAAGTTTTTGTTGTTTGTACTCTGAAATATATGTGCCTACATAATATTTTATGTCTATTAAGTCTTACTGAATAGAGTTGTCCATCTTTTAACCTGGACAAAACCATTCATAATTTTTAAAAAAAAACTTGAAAATACATGTATACAAGTCATGTACTGAGTGAATTGCTATCAGTGCAGACCATGCATAAATATGCTGGCTATTAAATCTTGATCTACACTGGTTGCATGGGTAAAATCTGTTGATGCCAGTAGTCTTAGGGTTAGCATAAATTGTCTTGGTTTTCTTATTTGATAACAGTCCTACAGAACACCATTGAAATTGTAATTGAGCCGCGTCACGACAAAACCAACGTCATGCGTTTGCGACCAGCATGGATCCAGACCAGCCTGCGCATCCGCGCAGTCTGATCAGGATCCATGCTGTTCGCTTTCAAACCCAAGTAGAGAAACTGATAGCGAATAGCATGGAACCTGATCAGACTGCGCAAATGCGCAGGCTGGTCTGGATCCATGCTGGTCGCAAACGCATTATGTTGGTTTTGTCGTGATGTGGCTCATATAGATAAAATAAAAGCAAAATTTAGTCAATAGTGCCATTGTATTATAAATTTGGACTAGTTTTACAGTCAATATAAAAGAATTTACAGAACAAATGAAACTACAATTTACACAAGACTGACCTCATTTTAAAACAAAAGCTTTTGAAATAAACAGCATGAATCTAACAATGCACTTCAGATAAGTGTTTCACTTTTTTAATAACAAAACACAATAAACTTTCTAAGAACAAACAGACACCTGTTTTCAAAAAGCTTTCTTTATTTTCAAATATATCCTCAGTAAAGTCTTGTTCATTCTATATTCTCCCTAACACTATACCAACCTTATCTAACAAAGTTTCTTTGATTCATACCAGACAACCTATGCCTGTCTGATTTTTTAAACAATCATGAAGTATTTTATTAGAGTGGCTTGTTCACAAATTACTTAAATAATTCTATTTCTCAAAAATAATCTTTATTTTACTTTTTTATTATTGTTTTTTATTTTCTTTTTTTAAATAAACCAATTGAAGACAATTGAGTCACTTTGGGTGTCATGTACATTGTACTAGTCAGTTGTAACCCTGGGGAATAACAGGGACTTTAGACTTTTCGATTTTCAAGGTAAAGGTAAAATTCACACTCAATATGAGGAAATATCAATGCTACTTTTTTACCATAAAAATATATCACTCAGCAGCTACAGTAATATACAATTTTGAGGGATGGGGGAAAATGTTTGGTCCCTAAAGGGAAAATTGGCCTGCCAAGGTGAACTGGCATTATAAGATTAATTTTATTGAGTCAAACAAAGGGGAGCTTAGGCTTTATACAAGATTTTGCACAACATTTACAAATTTGTAACTGTATCATCCAAAGTACTATATTTTTATTTCTCAAAACATGCAGACATTATTTACTCTTATTACTTACAGAATTTTGGTGTAATGAATAAAGTCATACATTGCAAAACTACACAAATATATTTTATCAGTTTGATTTTTTGTAGTTATACAAAACATTCTAATTATATTGAAGTATGCTGCTTTAAAAGATTCTGAAATTTTTAGAAATAAAAAAACCAAGCTTATTTCACTTCAAACGCATATTCCATATTATAATTTAACTTTCATCTACTAGGAAAGCTTTTATTAATTTTTATTCTGTGATACTTTTGCAAAATGCAGATTGTATAGTGCCAAATGATATAAAGCTATATATATACACTGTATCTGCTGCAAAAACCATTCTTTGAATTTTGAAAATGAAACAATACTTCCAAAATGCTTCTATGAAATAAATATGGCAGTAAATTGCATTTGTCCCTCTAGCCACATTATTACTGTCCCGTGGGAGCGGACAGACAGACAGACGCCAGGGGGTATAACATAATATAACCTAAATTCTTTCGGGCATATAAAAAAGACATGGCAACAACAGCCATATTTTGGTCTCTGTTTAGCAAACACCAAGCTTTTTTTAAGCAATTGGGCAGATGTCCATTTACAGGAATTATTTAACGGGAAAATCAGGCATTTTTTAGCAATTGGGAACATGTGCATTTACAAGCTTTGTCTATAGGGAATTAGGATGAAGAAGAAGAAGCAATTGTTAAGCAGCAAATTTTTAATGTAATAAATGATTTAATGTCGCTATATTGGTTAGAAATTTTATCATGAATTGGGTGAGACATAAAGTTATCAAGTTAGCAATTTAGAGGTCACAAGGCCCGGTATTTCAAATTGGTTGAAATGTCTGTTCATCACCATATGACAAAATCAGGATGCAGGGAAATTATTCATACTGTCCAATGCTAAATTGAGTCAAACTTGTGGAGGAATATAAGAAAATGTGACTGGTAGTTTTCACTTTTGATTGGATTAGTTTATTCAAAGTTGCACTTAGAAGGCTCAATAAGTATGCAATCTTAAAATCTACCTATCATTACAGGCCCATTAGACATGCTATTTTTTCTTTTCATTTCACAAAAACTTTTTTGTTTCTTTGACTCTGACAGTCTTAGGTCATATAGCAGATCCATCTTTTTTTATTCTTCCATTCCATGGCAATTGATACAGTTATATTGATTTAGTATTTTGTATGGAAGTCAGAAAACCACTTTGCTACATTTATTACAATTACATATTATTTCACAATCAGCAGTTGCACTACTTCCTAATTGCTACCAGTGATATGCATCTAACATGCTTAAAATCCATTAACAAAACATTAGTAAACTCATGTTTTCCCCTTCTGACGAAAAAAAAAAGTTATTCATTTCTAGGGCATCATTTATCATTACTATATCTTGTTGTTTCATTATTTTTTAATCAAGGAAATTAACAGATCATGACCTACTTTTTACCTATTTCATATTCATAATGTCAAACAGATCATGTTATACTATAGTATAAACAAATCAAGCACTTAATTAATGATGTAATTTACTGTATACAATTCCCCTTTGGCATAACACACAGCCAGTACATCTCATGAAAATCATTGTAAATAGCCAAGTTATATACCTTCTCTACTAAGTTACCACTAGTAATATTCTAAATGCCAAAAAGTATACTTTTTCCCTCTTATTTGTTATTAGTAAAGATTCAAAGTTGGTTATTTCATTACATTACATTTTTGTCAAACTAGAACTGTGTCGTCACGCCACGGATGCCCCCTGCATGCAGCCAAAATTTCAGATGTTATAATATTTAGTTTCAAATTTGTTTACACACCTATTTTTTCATTTTAAGTTCAAAGCCCTTGAAACTATTCAATGTTAACACAAACCATTTTTATACAAAGTTCAAGGCACTGAAACTATTCAGTTTAAACCTTTTTTAAATTGCATATTGCATATTTGTAGCCAAAATAATGACTTCATACACTTCCACAAATGTATGAGTACTGAATATTCAATTTTTTTCCAACATTCAAGAGAGATAACTTTGTCCAAAATCATTGAACCTTGACCAAATTGAAACTTGAACTGCTTATTCCGAAGATGTATCTATATTTCAAATTTAAGTTGAATGTGTACAATCATTGGGGAGATAATGAATGGAAACTAAAAATTTCTGATTTTTTTTTTCAAAGTTCAAGAGTGATAACTCTGTCAAACCATGACAAAATTCGAACTTGACCAGTGTATTCCTATAACATATCCATATGTGAAATTTGAGTTGACAATGTACAACTGTTCGGGAGATAATGAACGGAAATTGAAAATTTCTTCTTTTTTTCTTTCAAAGTTAAAGGGGCATTAGTCTGCCAAAAAACATCAAACCATGACCAAATTCGAACTTGACATGCACATTCCTTTGACATATCCATATTCAAATTTGAGTTGAATGTGTAATACCGTTGGGGAGATAATGAACGTGAACTGAAAATTTCATATTATTTTCAAAGTGAAAGGGGCATAACTCTGCCAAAAATCATTGAACCATGACTAAAGTAAACCTTTACCTGTGCATTTCTTTGATGTATTCATATGTCAAATTTGAGTTGAATGTGTACAACTGTTGGGGAGATAATGAACAGAAACTGAAAATTTCATCAAGGGACATAACTCTATCAAAAATCACCGGGCCATGACTAAATTCGACCTTAATCCGTATTTTCTCATGATATATCCATTATGTCAAATTTGAGTTGAATGTGTGCAACAGTTACTGAGATAATGAACGAAAACTGATGATGACAGAATGACCAAGGACGGAAGGACGGAACAGGGTAACACTATATGCGCCAAAACTCGAAGGACATCCACAAAATAATTTTTAATGTCATATACTGTACATGTATATACATCTGTCTTGGTAAGAAAGTAAATGTATAAAATATAACATCAACATTTTTTTTCGTTTTTTTTTTCAACAAATACATGATAATTAGTATTTCTTTTCTAGGTTGACAATTCAAGACTTTTACTTGCACTGATACAATGTGTTTGTACATTTGCTAGAAGTGATTAACATATTTATCCTTACTGACTATACAATAAAGAAGTATCACACGATTTAGGATTATCACTAATTTCATCTGACAGTTCTATCTCTCAATGTG